TTTTACACCCCCCCCCCCCCATAACCTGGGGCTTCTGTGATAATGGCTTTTGCGGGAGTGCCTTTTTAACAAGCGCTTGGTACGAGTTTGCCTCCTCTCTAGAGAAGCCTGCTGCCCTTTCCTTTTGCAGTCTGCGTTGCAGGCCTTCGGTAGGGTAAAACTTCTACTCAAGGTGTGAGTTGAACCAGGCTTCCTTTAAAGGATTCATAGGACTTGCCCTAAACAGCTGGTTTCTGTCTGGTTGCCACACCTGTAGTGAATTCAGAAAAAGACCCATTATTCATGACGGATCCGGGTCCTGCCTTTTGTCTTTGGTGCTCCCTGTTCCGTTTAACAGGTCAGCTGAGGTTTGTGGCACTGGGTGACAGCCCGGCAGTGGCGATTTTCAGGTGCTGACCTTCTTTCTCTGGTGAAGCTATTAAAAGTTATAGGTGGACAGAGGAGTTCATTCTAAATAATAGTTGGCAGCCCACATTCTACTGTAAAAGCTTCTTCATCCCTCAGTGACATCACGCAATCTTTCCACCTCAGTACTGATAAGCTTCAGAATTATAGGAAATTATTTTACAGTGTAAAGTTGTCTAGCAATATGACTGTCAAGAATTTTGAAATGTGTCTGGCACCGAAGGAAATGGCAACTGCAGGGTTGCAGACTATTTTAGCCCTCATAGAACTGTAGAAATTCTCAGGATTAGGCCGAAATAGAGTTGCTTAGGGCCTTTGACAGGTACATGTGAAAGCAAACAACAAAGAAACTGTTCTATTAAAAGCTGTTATTCATTTTGACAGGTACATGTGAAAGCAAACAACAACAAAGAAACAGTTCTGTTAAAAGCTGTTATTCATGTAGCATAATCTAAAATTATTTTTGAATTTGTTCAGTGCTAAATTATTAGTAGGCTCATGTTGTACTGTTGAGCATTTTTTGGAACATGTGGTTAAAACTAGCACAGCAAAGTAGCATTTGTTAGCTCAGTTAATAAGGTTTATTCTGCAGAACAATGCGCTGAGTTATGTGTTTTGTCTGAAAAGGGCAGATTACTTTCCAGTCAGAGTACACTTTTCAAGTACAAAATTAAATTTACCATAACGTACCACAGCACCAATGTGTAAAGATTAAAAATGCTTCAGGGAAGAAGTAGAATGTGATTCTAGTCCTGCATTGTAGAGCAAATACTGGCCAAAGCTACTAATTAAATTTCATAGCTTCTGTGCTTTTTCATTCATTTTGTGGTTTCTTGGGATATACCTGTTTGGCCTGCCAGCATCTTGCTGTTGAAGCAGATGCCCATTTTAGGACTGCATCATGTATGTCTAATTGCCTGTATGGTAGTGCTGAGAAAATCATTCATAGTTTTGCTTAGTTTAAATATCTTGTCACTTGCTAGCAGCCTTAGCCTCTGCATCATGGGCTGGCTGCATGGGCAGATAACCTTAATCCTGTAGTCAATGGTGAATAACTTGCTGTATTCTTATTATTGGATGCTTTAAATAGCATGTCATTCTGAATGAGGTCTTTGTGAAGTACTGCATTATGGGTGATTTTTCTCTCTTTATGGCTGTTCATTTAGTACCAACAGTTACAGAAATGCTCACTATTTTGCTTAAATATTCTTCTGTAGGCAATAATGAAGTATTTCCCCCATTTACCTTGTTGCTTAGGTCAAGTGATGGCTTTTGTTTTCATTTTAGGCATTTTCTGTTCCACAGGTGACAGATACATGTGGGCAGGCATGCTAAAATATATTTTATGGGCTAGTAACGCAGGTTGATTTATTTGCAAGTTCGTACAAATGCAGGAAGAAAAATAAACTCCATTTGTTGAATCCAGAATCTGATACTAATCCCAGGGTTCACAGTGGTGTTTTGTTAAAAGTCTGGTTCTGCTCTGTGCAGTGTTCATGGCAGCTGTGTTCTTTGTATGCTTGTGTTTTACTCAAGTGATTTTGTATTCCTGCATCACTTCTCTGAGATAGCAGATCATGCTTCTATATATTTATAGCTCACAAGAATGCAGATCTTAGCAAAATCAAAAGAGATTTTCAACTATGCCTAGCCTTTGGAATTTTTTTTCTTAGCTCTTAAAACAAGCTAAGTTGGCGCTTTCCTTCAAAAGGCTTTTAGCTTTCTATTTCACCTTAAGGTAATTTTAACCTCCAATATGCACAGGTTTGTTTGCTTAGGTTCAGATGCCATTTAGATTTTTATTATTAAAATGTAAATAAAAGAGTTGATCATGCTATGTTGCTTTTAATTAAATGCTTTGATTTTGAAACAAACCTGTCATTTTTCTCTTTAGGACTGGCAGCCTCCTTTTGCATGTGATGTACAGAGTTTTCGTTTTACCCCACGTGTTCAGCGCCTGAATGAATTGGAGGTGAGCTTTCCCGCTGTTGACATAAATCGGTATCCAGGCATAAAATGTTAGGCCTGCGTGTTTGGGTTTTGGATGGGGGCTTCTCAATGATAGAGTTAAGAAGCCTGCAGACCATCTGATTTTTTTGCATTGGCATGGTTTGAGTAAAATAACTCCAAGTATTTAAGAACCGTCTTGTTTTATTACCACAAATCACATCAAGATCTTTTTCTGCTCTACTGGAAATATCAAATAGCCAATTTGAAACGTTCTTCCCAGAAATTAAGTTGCAATGATTCCAGTGGAACCTGCTTCCAAATATGCATGGTTGACCTGAGATGAATGCCAGCTCTAATATAGTACAGAGAGACATAGCCTCTGTTTGGACATCAGGCAGTGAATAAAACCAGTTATTCCCATTAAAATATTACTCTGAGCCCTGACCTGGATAGCCCAGGGAAGCCTGATCTCATCAGATCTCTGAAGCTAAACAGGGTCGACTCTGGCCTCCTTAGAATACCAGAGGTGGGGGCAGGCTTCATTCAGCCACCTCTCTGAATATCCTCTAGGCCCCCAGTAGGGATCAGTCATCAGAGGTCGCCATGACTTCCAGGTGCACGCACACTCACACAGACAAACACAAACGTATGAAAAATAAGAACATAAGAGACACCAATGTTGGATCAGGCCAAAGGCCCATCCAGTCCAACACTCTGTGTCACACAGTGGCCAGAAATACCAGGGGCCATCAGGAGGTTTACCAGTGGGGCCAGGACATTAGAAGCCCTCCCACTGTTGACCCCCCCAGCACCAAGAAGACAGAGCATCACTTGCCCCAGAGCCCCTATCTATACCTTGTGGCTAATAGCCACTGATGGACCTCTGCTCCATATGCTTATCTAATTCCCTTTTGAAGCCGTCCATGTTTGTAGCCGCCACCACTTCCTGTGGCAGTGAATTCCATGTGTTAATCACTCTTTGGGTGAAGAAGTATTTCCTTTTATCCGTTCTAACCCGACCGCTCAGCAATTTCATGGAGTGCCCACGAGTTCTTGTATTGTGAGAAAGGGGTGTGTGATACCTCTTTCTCTACCTGCTCTATCCCATGCATAATCTTATAAACCTCAATCATGTCTCCCCTCAGTCGTCGTTTCTCCAAGCTAAAGAGCCCTAAGCGCTTTAACCTTTCCTCATAGGGAAAGTGTTCCAACCCTTTTATAATTCGAGTTGCCCTTTTCTGCACTTTTTCCAAAGCTATAATATCCTTTTTAAGGTGTGGTGACCAGAACTGCACACAGTATTCCAAATGAGGTCGCACCATTGATTTATATAGGGGCATTATGATATTGGCTGATCTGTTTTCAATACCCTTCCTAATAATCCCCAGCATAGGATTGGCCTTTTTTATTGCAGTCACACACTGTCTCGACATTTTCAATGAGTTATCTACTACAACTCCAAGATCTCTCTCTTGCTCAGTCTCTGCCAGTTCAGACCCCATCAATGTGTATGTATATTTAGGATTTTTGGCTCCAATGTGCATCACCTTGCACTTGGCCACATTGAACCCCATTTGCCATGTTGACACCCACTTCCCCATCCTTGACAGATCCCTTTGGAGTTCCTCACAATCCTCACTGGTTTTCACCACCCTGAACAACTCCGTATCACACCCCCCTCCAATATTACTCTGATACTTAAACCTTGATTCACTTTGATGTCTTTATTATATAGTGCTTTGCTTTGACAAGGGCATATAAATGTATATTATAAAATGTAAGTTATAAAACTAAAATACAAAGCATCTCTGTAAAGATATGTATCGTTATACTTAGATTCCTAGCCCTGATTCATAATTTGCTTTACTGCTGTATACAAATATTCTTGATTTCATATGACTTCTGTTATTTAGTGCGGGCACATAGTAAAAAGAGAAGTCTTTACTGGAGGGAAGGGATGTAAAAGGTTTGTGTTCAGGTTTGCCTCAAGTATTCAGTGCCTTTCAGATTTGCCATAGCAACTAAAATATTGGGGTTCTGCCTATTGAGCATTAAACATATATAGAACACAAGAGCTGACTGGGACATGTTGCTGCTCTTTTTGTTGGCTTTTCCTGCCTAAATTGCATGTTGTATGTTTACAACTCTTGGTTTGTTAATAGGCAATGACTAGAGTGAAGCTGGACTTCTTAGATCAATTGGCAAAATTCTGGGAACTTCAAGGATCTACATTAAAAATCCCTGTGGTAGAGAGAAAAATTTTGGATCTCTATTCGTTGAGCAAGGTGAGTTGTGATCTGCAGTGGTTTGGGGGGTATTGTGCTAGTTTGAATAGGGGCAGTTTGGTGTAGTGGTTAACAGCGCGGACTCTAATCTGGGAGAATTGGGTTTGTTTCCCTACTCCTCCACATGCAGCTGCTGGTGTGACCCTGGATCAGTCACAAGTTCTCTCAGAGCTGTTCTCTCAAGGGCAGTTCTCAAAAGAGCTCTCTCAGCCCCACCTACCTCACAGTTACAGGGTTTCTTGTGTTGGGGGGGAAAGAGAAAGGGATTGTAAACCGCTCTGAGACACCTTCGGGTAGTGAAGGGTGGGGTATAAATCCAGTCTCTTTGTCTTCTCTTCAGTGTGTAAGTAAATTATTTTGACTTGGTTTTCCTCCATCGTGTACATTATGTAGTGTTCATTGATACTGCCCCTCCCCCTATTATAAGTGTAGTGATTCTTAATAGTGCCTGTCATTTACTTAATCAACAGCCATTTAAAGGGCAACAAAGTTATTACGTATCCAGAATGTACTGCTGGGTAGCTCATTGATACTGCCCCTCCCCCTATTATAATTGTAGTGATTCTTAATAGTGCCTGTCATTGAGTACTTAATCAACAGCCATTTAAAGGTCAACAAAGTTATTACGTATCCAGAATTTGCTGCTGAGTAGCGACTATGGGGTTGCAAAGAGTCGGACTCGACTGTGCGACTGAACAACAACAAAAAGCTAAAGTTCATAATGCGTAACTTTTTGGCTTGTTCATAGTAATTTATGGCAGAAAGCTCATGAATTGTTTCACTTTAATAAATTTGAAATATGAACTCTCTTTCTCTATGTACAATTAAGATCAGTCAATTTCTGGTGATTTAAAAGTAATTGGGAATTTTGTCCTGATCTTAGGGAAAGCAAGAGTGCTTTTGGTCAAACATCTATTGTGACTGCATAGGGTTCTTAGTATATTTGGATATCTTTAACAACATATAACTCATTGAGCTCTTCAACAGAGAGCTGTTCATGAACACTATAGTATATCGTGGACCATTAGTCACATTCAAACAATCATCATATTTCATGTTTACAGTATACTCAAGAGTTGTAGTCTAATGCTGTAACTTGTCTTACATAAAAATTGTCTTACATAAAAATTTTTGAGTGAGTAAAATCCTGTCTTAAAAAGCATTTCATTCATTTCAAAAGAGAGACTATTTTATAGGAGCTTTTTTAGTGTTCCCCAAATTTCCTATTTTTTTCCATCGGAAAAATGGAAATAGTCCTCAGAAAATAATGCAAAGAAACTTTTTACTCAGGCCTTGATATCTCTGATGGTACCAGTAAGGAATACAGGACTGTTGTAGCCATAGGCTTGTTCATGAAAACACATCTGAATTATTCCTGTCCTCATGCGCTCCCTTCTTCCCTTGCTGTCTAAGGTTGAGGGCTTCATGTTCTTGGGAGTCTTAGCCATAGCTGGTTTGTGACGTCTGAATAAGTGTCCTTAACAATATAAGGCCTTTATTTTTGCTTGGGATTGTAAAGACCAGGATAAAACCCAAAGCAAAGCCCAGTTTGTCAAAACAGATGAATTTGGATGTCCCAACAAACTGTGGCTAGATTAAAGAGTTCCTTATTTTGAAAGTCTTCAGTCTCTGCTCCATGTGCAAGGAGAGGAGGATGGAAGCTTGCAGATACATGAAGAAACTCAGGCCTTTTTGTCACACACATGTCTGCATACAGCCCTAAGCTTTTCCTTGAAATAGTTTAAATCCGCTTTTCCCAAGCATAAGGTGGCTTGCAACATATTTCAAAGAAACAAGCTCAAAGTGGGTATAATAAAATAAATACAAATAAATCAGTTGTCAGGAAATCTCAGTACAAGTAGCACTTCTGCCCTACATTAGTACGTCATTCATCACCCGAATCTCAGAATGAAGCATCTTGCTAACCCCTCTGAAATCCGGATTCAAGAATGTAACAATCTACCAAACTATATCCCCTTATAAGTTGCATTGTTAGTATCAGCTGCAAAAATCCAGCACACATTGGATTTGAATTGGCAGCCTTTATGTATTAAGGTGAATGCAGGACTTTAATATGGGTTTAAAATGCCCAGCAAGATGTAAATGGGTGTGTGATTAGTATTTCAAGGCAGATGTCTCTGGGTCTGATGGTTCACTTGGTTCTCCCAGGACCAATGTCAAGTAAACATTGTTTTTTATAGGGCCAGTGAATCTGCAATAATGACAAATAATCAAATATTGTTTTGGCAGCAGCCTTCGTCTTGGAGGAGGAAGTCTCTATTAAAACTTGTGTAGTAATCTGCTGTCTTAAGACTCTTTACTAAGTATCTGTGGAAGCTCTCAAGTGTTGACCTCTAGCGCTTCCAATTGCCTTGCAGTCTAAATTAATGCTTTTCACACGACTGTCAGTCGAATCTGTCTCTTTTTCTCCTTTGCATTAATAGCGTGCTTGTGCTGTTTGCTTAATTTTTGGGAGATGCTACGTCTCGGGGTCCAGGTACCTTGAATGGATTGAAAATGGTGGAGGGAAAGATGAAGTTGTCTGGTTTCTTCTGCTTACCATAACTAGAGGATCTGAGGCTTGGTTTGGGTGCGGCCTGCATTGCTCAGAACTAACTTGCAAGTGTAGCCTTTTAAAACAACTCTTGTTTGTTTTTATTTCAGATTGTTGCTGGCAAAGGAGGCTTTGAGGTGGTCACTAAAGATAAGAAATGGTCCAAAGTAGCGAGTCGGCTGGGTTACTTACCTGGCAAGGCGACAGGATCACTTCTGAAGTCGCACTATGAACGTATACTATATCCATATGAACTTTTTCAGTCTGGTGTCAGCCTTATGGTGAGATTCTACTCCCCCACCCCCCGAGATTGGTATGAGAGGGCTTAATGCATCGCTAACCACTAACTCCTGCTTTTGTGCATTCTCATGGCAACGGTTTGCTTATACACTGATGGAGCCACATTGTTCTTTGGTCTGTTGTTGTGACTGAACAGATACTTCCATAGGATGGGGGCTTTAGTTGAAAGAGAACCAAATGCAAACAAGTCTGGAAGCCTTCTTAATTTTTCTTGGCTAGGCAGTAGCAGCAGCAGTTGAGACTCAGTTTTGTTCAGGTTAGAAGGGTGACTCTCTTCCAAATGGCATTTGTAATGTAATATGTCATTGTCAGTAGTGCTTTCCCCCCTAGTACTGATGCTCAATTACGAACCAGAGTCTGACATCCCTGATCCAACCAACCTGGTGTCCTTCTGTGCTCTGATTCTTTAGGGCATCCAAAAGCCAAACTTGGACCTTAAGGAAAAAGTGGAGGTTGAGGACCTCGGCATTGATGCCCAGTCTCTCCCAAAGCAGGGTACAAGAATGAACGTTGTGCTGAAGAGAACCAGACGTGTCAAGTCCCAGGTACCTAGATCACTTGGCCACGGTAGACAGAGTGCCTTTAGTCACTGCACCAGTGCAGCAGCATTGGAAATGCAACAGCCTTTGTCTGGCCGTGGGGGTTCACTGAAATGCACCAGAAGACAGTGGTCTTTTTCACAGAAGACCCAATGTGGATGAAGAGAAATACAGAAATTGCTTTCAGAGTCAGATAAGTTAGAGATTAGGCATCTAACATCAACCATGCGTTGTCTCACTGAACTTAGCCACGCAACTGTCTGTCAGCTCTAGCACCTCCATCTGCTGCAAGAAGGGATCACAAACTGGCCTAAAGGTTGTTGTAAAGAATACTGAGAGGATGTGTGTTCTAAGCATTCTAAAGTGCTATATTAATGCAAAGTATTAGTAAGTATGAACAGACTTACTGATACCTGTATCTGCTGGTGTGCTGTGGAATTTGGGATGCATGTAGGAATTTAGCTCAAATTTAAACAGTAGGCAACTCTGTTCCTCATTGGGGTTGGGTTTTTAAGGGTGGTCAGCTTTAATTGTAAAAGATAGAAAAATATAGTGGGGAGGACTATGAAAGTATAGTGGGGAGGACTTTAAACAATGCCTGATCCCTTAATTGAAATTCCCAGCCTTTCTGGTGGTCCCCCCCAATCCCATTTTCTTTAAAGTGGGTTAAAAGGGCACTTTCCCTCAGGGAGCATGTGAGAACAGAGTCAAACTCCATGTCAGACCTGTTGCTTACTTAAAAAGGACTTACATTTTTCTCATCCTGAAATTAATATAAATTAATTGGGAATAACATAGAATGCACTCGTTCTAAAAAACAGGCATCAGGTCGCAAATGCAGTTGAAGGTATTATTTAGCCAAAAAAAAAAGTAGTAGTAAAAGTAAGGAAGAAAAATTGACAAGAAGCTGTGATTCTTGAGAGTGTTCTGTGTTATGTATTTCAGTGGCTCCTTGCAGGTTAGTCAGTGGGGTTGAAACGAAAGTGAGACTTCTTTTATTTAATACTAACATTTTCCAGTATTAATTAATGAAAGGTCATTTTTCTTACAAAGCTGAAAAATGTATAGATGGTGGAATAAATTTTTGGAAAACTGAGTCCTTGGCATAATTTGAAAATTTTGCTTCCTGAAAAGTAAAACGATGAAGAGGTTCTTAGAAAGGGGATGTTTTAGATCTCCATACCTACTGTGCTGTGCTCCATACCTACTGAGTCTTCTCAGTGCTAGGGCCATGCAGACCCTCCATTGCTGAGGTGCTGGTCAGTAACTGATGGGGGCCTTTGCAACAGTCTCCAGCAAGGTGTTATATGGCACCCCATTCTCTGCTTGAGTGGCCGCCCCTAGGGTTCCAGCCAGCTGCTGTCGTGGTAAATTGGCCGTACATCTTCCCATGGCTATGTATGTTTGGCTTTGATGGTGCTTGGCTTCCTGCAGTGGTATGGAGTAAGAATGGTCTTGCCAGTGTATCAGGAATCTTGTCCAGATCATGCCCTGAGAGTTCAGACTGAATAGAATGCATGAAAGCATTCAAATAACATAAACATAATTACACAATGTGAAAAGTGTAGACACTTCCAACTAACATTTGTTTTTCTTTCCAGTTAGTCTTTGGAAGTTTTGCACTCACATTTTCTGCATTGGTGAATGTATTTCAATCTTTGAAGCCTGAAGTGAAATACTGCTGCGTGACAAAGAAAATGTATCCCATTGGGAACTGTCTAATTTACGTATCCGATTCCAAAACAGTAGCAAAACAAGATGAACTATGAGAATTGCTTTAGGAGACAAATATACCGAGTAATGAAAAGCTGAATAAAGGAAAAACATACGAGCTGTACCCAGAATTATTTTTTGTTTACTTAGGAATGTAATAGTCTGTATTTTGTCAGTGACATCTCTGCAGTTGTAATAGTATGGTTCTCAACTATTTAAAGTAATTTATCCCAGGTTCTGATTGCTAGAAACACATGGGATTCATTACACACCAGTCATTATCTTTAAGCTAGTATCAAGGATTTTTCATGTTCACATAGTCTTGTATAATTGTAAGTGACAATCTGTTCTTTCCATCACCAGTGCTATCAAAAGGTCCAATTTTTGGCTTTAAATATATTTGTAAAGACAAAGCCGTCAATGAAACTGTCCCCTCTGAAGTTAAAATTCCTGCTTTGAGTCTTCAGTCATCTTTCTAGATAATAGATTAATATACCTTGCAGAGAGAGAAAGCTAAACCTTCATGAAAAGCTAAGCAAAAGAGAAAAGGGAAATATCTAGTGAAATGTTTTGGGGGTGGGGGAGTCAAAAGATTCACCAATGGTAATTATAACTTGAGAAGGAGACCTTGTTTGATGACTCTGTTAAAATTTGTCAAAATTGCATTAACAGAAATACAGGCAACGGAGTTTGTGATCTAAATAAAAAAACAACAACCTTGGTTGCAGTTAGTGTATCTCTTCCCTTTTAAAGCTATTCATAAAACTTTGTACTTTCACTAGAGGTGATAGTCATCTGTTCTCATAGTTCATCTTGTTATGCTGTTGTTTTGGAATTGGATATGTAAATTAGCTGGCTGATTCCCATTGGCACACTTTAGTGGAGTGGAGTAGGATTTTCCCCAGACTCTGCTTTCATGCTTCCCTACAGGCCTAACTAAAGTATTCTTTTTCAGCTTTCTTGCTCTAGTTCTAATGTGGTCTTGTTGCATTACATATTTCTTTTTCTTTTGGTGATATGTTTAAGTGTACAAAAAAGAAAACATAAATCCATTCTGGCTTCTTTGAGATGTATGACCATTTTACAACTGTTTTGAAAATGTTGGAAGCTACTCGGAAAGCAGTGTGTATTCTGACTTTTCTATACAACTTTCCTAGAAAAAAATGTACAAAGCAACAATAATCAAAGTCCTATTAAAATAGGGACTGCAAAAAAAGGTATATTAAAATAGTTAGAGCTTCAGGGCAGTTTCAGCAGTAGAGGTCTTGTTGTTTGGCTCCTGATATCAAAGTAAACGTTATGTATGTATATAAGGTTCGAGTGCTTTTGGGTTTTTGATAGAACTATACTTTTAAACAGGGCATCATTCAGCAGCACCCAAGCACTTGAAATTCCTGTTGATTTTGTATATATAGTTCTGCAGTGGGAATTAATGAGGCTTAAATGAATTTAACTTGGGTTGGGTGTGTCCTAAGATTTTGATCGCTGGTTATGTTAGTGAATTAGTTTTTGACAGACAGTGGATTTGGAAATAGCTTCCATTCTTTAAAATCTGCTCCAGGATTATATCAACTCCCAAGGCATTGATCAGGTTACCCCCCTTTTCCTTTGACCAGTAAAATTTCATGCCCCCAGAGCATATTCACCCCTCATCAGGCCATTATTTTTGTGTTGTTTCCCCCTATATTAATTGATATAATCATATTTGTCTGCATACCTTGGCAACGTGCCAAATGCCCACCTTGTCTGTGGGTAGCTCTGATGTGCTATTATGATTCACATGGAGGCCTGCCACTTTACCATTAGGAGGCATGATAGGCTAAAACCTGGGGGTGCAAATTTTGATAGGATTTGGGAGCCAGGTCAGGCCTATGGTTGCTCCCAACCCAGTCCTTACTGGACTATCAGAAGGGCCAGTGTGACATTTTTTATGAAGTCTTGAGCTTTGGAGCTACTCCGATGAAGTGAGCCGTCTCTCTAATCTGTGGTGGGCCTGAAGTCTGGTGTGACTGCAGGGAGAACCCTCTGCCCTCTCTTCTGTTTGGGTGAAAGTGAAGGGGTAGCCCTGTGTTTGCCCTGAGGATTGGAGGCACTTGAAAGCAATAAGAATGATCCCTGCTTCTAGAGCCTCTGAATCCCAGTAAGAGATCAGACAAGCTATGCCTATCCCAGCCACAAGTGTGCTTGGCAAAATAAAATATGCTTTCCCATTGATGAGAACATTTGTGGACAACTGGTACAATACTGTTTTAGAGCCAGTGCAGCGTTGCTAGGGCTCATAGCTGCGATGAAGACTGTGGCACAGGATTATAGTCTTCTCCTGGCCACTACTTGGTCAGGTGCTGATTTTAATTGCCGTGTCATTGAATAAGATTGCCTGGTTTCCCAGGCTTCCTAGCTGCTTTCAGAATCCTGGTTAAGCAGAATTCACACTCTGCTGTCTTTTTGAGACCCTGTTTGCCACAGCTGAAAGACTACAGTCCTTTTATTACATTTCCACTGGCTGTTCAAAAGCTCATAAGCAGATAGTAGTTAAAAATTAAGATGCTCAGTTTTGGAGCTTTTCTTGGGTTGCCATTGAAGTCTGCCTTCACGTCTTAGTTAAAATGCAAAGAACATGAACACACTTCTGTTTTTCTGATTTTTTCCTGTTGCCTTTGGATATTCCAGATATCTGGGCTGTACACAGGTCAAAGTAAGCTGCGGTTTGATTGAGTTATGGGTCAGACAGGGCACCAAACTGGGATTTCAGTCTAGGTTTTGTGGCTGGATTGTTAGCCAGTTTGTACTAATTGTGATTTGTTGTGTGAATTCACAAACTGCAATTTGAACCAGGCAGCCGCTTTGTCACAGAGATAGCTTTATAAGAGGATGTCTTCCTTGTTGGCAGGCAGAGAGGAAACACAAACCTAAGAAGGAAGGGATATTTTTAATGCAGACATATTAATTCTTGCACAGAGAGGAGAATGTGGCTCATGATGTATTGTTAAATATTATTTAGAAGATTTAAGCCCATTTAGAAAACAAAATGCCATCTCTCTGGTTTTGTGAGAAGTAGCTGAATGTCTAGTAGACAAAAGACATTTAGCAGAATAATTTACTGCTCTCATCACTGAGCTTTGTTGCTTATAAATGAGCATTACATTAAATTTGATTGGATTTGAAAATGATCATGTGTCTGTGTCCAGGTTTGCAAGACTGAATCTCATTAGCACAAGCAGATACAAATCTCAAGTGACTCTGTTGTGCTCGACTAAGGGGCTTTCTGCTGGTGTAAGGAGCTTTCAGCCAAAGAAAAGCTCTGCCATCAGTGAAATGGAGTTGCTGGATAAACTTGCGGTAGCAGTAAATATAACATGCCAGTGAATTTTTGTTCTCTTTGCTTAGCATTCTCCCTCAATAACTGATGCTATCTTAGCTTTGGGCCCTTGTTTCAGAACTCCCTTTAAAAAATGCATTAGCACATGGCATCAGTGCATAGAAATAAGAGAAGAAATATGATCTGATTTTAATTGTTTTCCTGCTGTTGGCATTCTGTATCTGAGTGCCATGCCACAAAAGGTAAATTGTACCAATTATGTCTGGCATCGTAAGTGTCAGGTTAAAAAACCCATGCTGTCTTTCTTTCTTTTTTTAAAAAAGATTTATTTATGATTTGTACATTACAAAGAGAAAAAACAATGTTGCAGTATATAAATCAAATTTTGGCATTTACATTAAACATTATTTCTAAACCATTTGTTAACTTTGTACCATCTTTTTTGGAAAGTTTTTTCATCTTTTCCTAAAAGTATCATATTCAATTTATCCATTTCTGCCACATCACAAATTTTTATGATCAACTCTTCTCTAGTAGGTAAGCTATCGGTTTTCCAACATTTAGCAACAAATATTCTAGATATGCAGTAAGGGTATTTGATAAAAACCATGCTGTCTTTCTGAAGTATCTGTTCTTAGCATTGACCTTGGAATGGCTAACAGTTGTGGAGACTGAATTTGGTCTAATTGATGGTTCTTTTGGTCATCCAGCATGTTGAGTGGTTACCTACAGTGTAAATACTAATGGTGAACTGTTGTGGTCTTGTTTTCAGGCAGAGGCAGGAGAGATGAGTAGGAATGCTGAACTAAAGAAGCTCCAGATCTTTGGAGCAGGACCAAAGATGATGGGATTGGCATTGGGAGCAAAGGAAAAAGAAGGTAAATGCGGACCTCCTAATCAATTAATGTGAGTTCTTAGTTTCCCCCCCGCTTGTGAAGTAATCACCAGAAGATCTTCAGCAGTTCTAAAAGTGTGCCTAGACTGAACTCCCAGCCTCTCCAAAAATACTCAGTTAAGATATATTTGGAACAGGTCCAGGTCTTATACCCATAACAAATTCAACAAGAGTGTACCTGTTCCGAAAGCTGGCTGGTGGTGACTACCTCACCCAAGCCAGGTGGTATGGGGAAGCTCCTTGGCAGAGTGCTCAGCTGAATCTGCTTAAATGGCTGGACCCATCTTGGTAGAGTGGTTCAGAGGGAGCGAAGGAAAAAGAAGGTAGGCAATTGGCCTGGAATTTTTTCTGATGGTCATAATGGTGCGTCTGGCCACTAGGGGTTTCGCTCGTTCTTCCTTTCTGCAGGCCACTCCTGTTTTCTCTCTTGCAGCCTAAGCCTGCTATCTCCTTCTAGGCTCCTGGTTCCAAGGGCTCCTAAGCTAGTCCACTCAGAAGTGAGTCCCATTTTATTTGTTGGTGCTTGCTCCCAGGAAACTATTTTTAGGGTTATCCCCAACTAACTCAACAGGTCTCACTGGAGCAGCATTGAATGCTGCCCTGGACTTCCTTTAGCAGGGAGTGGCAGCTATTCCAATTCCCTCAGGACTCCCCGCAGCCAGGCAACTTGGGCCAAGGCCACCCCCTTCCCAGCTCTGTCAGTCTTTGGGGGTGTGGCCACATCTCTCAGCTGTGCAGCAGTGTTGGTGCTAGCAGCAGCAAGCAATATTAGCCCAAGACACCTGGGTAAGGGGACTGGAGTTCCAGGTGTCATGAGGAAGTTAAGTCACCCTCGTGATATGGAGCTTAGATATGTCAAGCCCTATGTATATTTGTATGCTTTCCTTTGTGGACCATGCCATCCTGGAGTTTTAAATGGGGTGTAAGTGGAAACTCTGGAATTCAGGGTGTGAATAATGGGAAGTGGGGGTAGAATATAATACGTATGTAGGAATTTTGAAGGCAGGAATCTGGGCTTTGAAGAGGAGGGAGGAAATTTATTCTGGTGGGACTTCTGGTTTTCACTTTTGTTTCTAGTCCTTTAAGATATACTCTTCAAATGCATTTTGGCTCCTAAGAGTGTTGCAAGGGGTACCAAATTTCGTAGAACAAATATTCAGAGAATGCTTTGCAATTTTAGCCTTATAAATTCTGGCTCCTGACAGAATTTAAATCACTTGTATTACTTTCACATACTTCAGTGGTTGGAAGGCTGATCTTGTACAGTCTTTGCAGACAATATAACAAATATGATATTCTCTTTCCAGATGAAGTCCCCCGAAGACGCAAAGGTACCAGATCTGAAGCATTTGGCATGCAGATGAGACAGCGGAAAGGGGCACTTTCTGTCAACTTTGTAAGTTTGTCTGTGTGCCTATGATGCCTTGTTGTTCGTTTGGTTTGGGGAACTGCATTTTAAAGTGGCAAAGCACTGAAAGAACAATATTTCACTAAAATTGATGTAAATTAAAACATTTAAAAAGCTAACAGTGTTGTTGTTCGGTTGAGAACCAGCCCTCTAGTCCATCCTGCTGTTTACTAAAGTCAATCCTCATTCAATCGGTAGTTCTCAAATTTTCACATTAGCCTTATAAGAGATGCCTGTGAAAGGGCAGTCGTTGAAAACGGAAAATCCTTTTTTTGATTGAAGTTAAAATCTTGTCTGCTGTCTTGAACTGTTATCAAGTAATGCCTTTCCTAATTTTGGGATTTGATTATTTTATGTAAGTGTGATTGTTTTGGATAGAGATGGTTTGCAATTGGTTATACACAGTATCCTATAAAAGGTGGAATTAACTTGTGTCGCTTTGTGCCTTCAGCATTCCATATTTATTTCAGAAAAAAGATTATGTTGCCAATCCAGGAACCTGCCTGCGACAGTTTACAAAATAATAATAATAAAAACACAACCTTTTAAGTGTGATTGTGTTGGATAGAGATAGTTTGCAATTGGTTATACACAGTATCCTATAAAAGGTGGAATTAACTTGTGTCGCTTTGTGCCTTCAGCATTCCATATTTATTTCAGAAAAAAGATTATGTTGCCAATCCAGGAACCTGCCTGCGACAGTTTACAAAATAATAATAATAAAAACACAACCTTAAGATATTAATTACAATCTAGCATTAAAAATCCCAGCACACCATAAAAACAGACCGTTGTCATCTTAGAAGTTAGTTTATTTAGAAAATTAAGAA